GATGATGATGATGATGATGATGATGATGATGATGATGATGATGATGATGATGAAACTGAAAATGTAAGAGTGATCATCATGAACATCATACCCTGTAGAGGCAGAATCCAATGGGGACCAGCAGAGAGTTGGCGGTGGAGGGCCCATGCCTGTAGTCCTGCAGGAGCGAGATGAGCACGTGCCGCTTGTCCTGGACGTTCGGGGTCACCAGGGGGTCACGCTGCTCGTGACGTGTGACCAGGAAGTAGATCCGGTGTGTCTTGGAGTGCACGTCCATGCGCGTGCGGTCAGAACTTGGCGTGTCTCCTGCAACACAAGAGTCTGTTTTATGGAGGAACCTTTTTTAACAGGGTACTTCCTAGTTTCTTTGACACCCCTAACGCTTCCCACGTCACAAATGAGGAGGTGCGCAGCAGAGTGAAAAAATCATGAATCATTATGAAGACTTTGCTGTCTACTGCGTAATGAAGAAAACTGAAAAGGTGTGGCCATGTAACAAGATCGTGTGACCTATCCAAGACCATTCCTTAGGAAACTGGGCAGGGGAGGACAAGAAAAGGAAGGCAAAAGAAGAGGAACACAGACAACATTGCGGAGTGGACAGGGAAATCCTTCGCCCAAACTCAGGCGCTTGCAAAAACCGGTGAAACTTTGAGACACCTGACGAGGCTCTCTGTCACACAGCACCCCTACGACCCTCAAGGATTATGGTATCAGTGACAGTGACAGTGACTTCCTAGTCGACACTTTTTCGCAAAACGCTATGTTCATTCCTGTTCCCCTCTCCGAAGCTTAAACATGGGAATTTTACAAAGACAAAAGAGAGTAATACTGAAGCCGTTGCGACCTGAATCAATTTTTAATGTATGCAATTTTCAACTCCCATCGACAGTTTAGATCATTTAGGAGGTGGGATCGTCGATAAAAAGTATCCTTACTAGGGAATCAAACATGTGTCTTATGCGTGCGACAGCGAGGCACTTATCCTCTACACTAAAGATGCGATCGATCTGTGCCTACAGACAGATGGCCAAAGGGAATTGCTAAGACAGAGGATAAACCAGTTAGGTACACTTTGACTTGGAATCTTGAAAGAACTTTCGAAATCAACCAAATTAGATAGCTTTATGTAGCACAGTTTGAGACACAAAATGAGACACAGTGAGCTGTCCAAAACAGTGCTGACAGGATATTAAAATGTAATCGATGTATTCTCATTCATTGGTCATTGTATAGGTTTCATGCCCATTTCAACATTGTTAAATTATTCAAAGGGCTAGACCTCTGAATGTAACATCCATCTCCTCTAGGACCTAGCAAAATGGAAGGAGCGCCATATAAACGGTCGCAAGACAGCCCAAATTTAGAACACCTCGTCAAGGATTTGAACCAGGGCCATCCACTCCGTAGTCTAATTGTCGAAAGATCCAAGTCACATGGGTGAGGATCCATGACGACCCTGAGAACAACCAAGAAAAGGAATGTCTTCAGAATCAAAGAACGGCCATTCACTCACTAACCCTATAGGTTAAGGCACTCACTAACCCTATAGGTTAAGGTTTCTAACAGTCAGCTTGAGCCTGATATTATTTCAAAATGACCGGGGTTTTTATTGTTTGTTGTTTGTTTGTTTTTTAGGGGGGGGGGAGGGGAAGGGTGTGTTGCTTTTTTTGTTGGTTCGTTTTTTGTTCACCAGGATGCACCACGAAAAAAAACTACTAGCTGGGCCCCCTTTCGATGAAAGGAACGATCGGTGCTTTAATATCAACTAAAACTTATTGGCCTACTATACCAAACTCTACTGGAATGGGGCAATAAATCTTGAGAAATGCAAAAAATTAGAAGATCTAGATCTATACTCTCAAAACAAAATGCGCCCCGCGA